AGTTGAATGTGCACTTAAATTCACAAAGTTGATAAAATCAGAAGACCCATGATTATACAAATATAAAAAGTCAAAATACAAGACAAGACAAATAAATCATAATGAACTAATTTTTATAGGAAGCAACATTAAATAGTTCATTTATTTTGGATCCTTTTTCAAACACTTGAATATTATAAAACTCGATTGAAACCAACTGTATGTCTTGGAATATTTTCGGGGAATCTATATATTACGAAAAAATCTACTTGTTATGAATTTGTGAACATATGAAAACTATACCATTAGACACATTGTCCTCATCTTTTCCATATACTGTAATCATTTTTTTTTACAAAAGGAATCCAGAGAAGGTTGTAACAGGTACAGAGTCGGAATAGTATCCAGAGTATAACGTTTGACCCACACTTTGTCCCCCTGATTTAGTCTTAACACAGCCAGGTTAACTCCTGCCTCGTGATATTCATTACCACCACTGCCGTATGCCATTGTCCTGACCTTGGATTCTCCATTCAATACAATGTCCACCCGAATGTCGTTTGTACCATAACTCTGTACACTGACGAAGAAGACGTAGTGCCCTTCCACAGGGGCCGTGAACATCCCTGTAGTGGGGTTGTAACCTCCGCCTGTATCAAATATTATCTTGGGGAAAACCAGTGTACTTCCGCTCCATGAAGAGTGGGAAGACGTTATTCCCGCGGTGAAGGCAACTTTTGTAGACACACCTAAAACACAATAGTAATGTTTCACTTTATTTTCAATTGAGTCGAGTATTAATTTGATTTAATTTAATATAAAATTACTACTAAATTAAACTATAAATACTTTATTAATTTTGAATTAAATTATTAGTATGGTATTCAAGAGTGAATTCAAAAATTAAAAAGTTAGGGATAACAAACAAAAAATAATTTGAAATTCCACAAACATCAATTGTATTTGAATAATAGTATATAGTAAACTGTAGAAAGGTGTAGGGTTATCAATAAAAAAAAATTTTAATTCCAAGATGAAATCAATTTTGCTATTTAGTGACTACACTTTTAAATGATTTTTTCAGGATCGGGAAGTGAGAATTTATAGATCAAGCCGTAAATGATGTGGACGCCCTACTCATACAAAAAATACAATGTTTTAAAAAAAACTAACACTATCTGTTTTAAATACATACCACACCGCTTGTTGGTAAAATTCAATCGGAACACCTCAAGAGATGACACAGAAGACGAGAGTTTTAATTGTTCAAACTGAGTCTGTTTGAGTTCCGATTGAAGGCCTTCTATTGTGTTGTTCATATGATCTGTAAAGACAGAATAACGAAGATGCTAAGGTAAAATTATTTCCCACTGTTTTCATATATTAAATCTAATGTAATACAGTTAACCTAAATGATATCGTTGTGTAAATAGTTCCCTATATACCGGTGAAAACAAGGGGAATGTTCGTTTTTTATTCATCTGTCCGTCCATCCGTCAGTGTAGCTGTCTGTCCGTCCGTCCGTCAGTCTATCTGTCAGTCTGTCTCATTTGGCTGTCTGTCACACGAACGATTTGATCCACCCCAATCACAACTTGAGTAAAAACAGTTTTTTTAAACACCGTGTGCCAAGAGTTTATGAGGAAAATAGCGTATCAGAAACCCTTAATGGCTAGCGAAGATGAGGTTATTCGCAATTTTTTTTTATAACTCTTTCATATATTGAGCTGAATTTTGTAATTGACTCTACCATCATAGTTTAAGATCAAGTTTGCATTTTGTTCCGCTTCAATATATATGAAGGAATCAAGGCATTTTCAATTTTTAAAGGGAACCAGCTGGTTACCCTTGCCGGTGTCGCATAATATTTGGTCCGCCTCGTTTAAAGGCCCGGCCGGTGTAGACGAATAATGACCCCCATCGAATATTGACCGGGGGTCATTTTTCAACGACAAAACATGACCCCCTACCCGTAGTAAAAAATCATTTTTTGTAGAAAAAGTGTCATAGGGGTCATTATTTTATATGTTAGTCCTATAAAAAAATGACCCCCTTTAAAGTGAAAAGAGAGTCTGTCAAGTAATAAAATTTCTTTTTAATTTCCTCCTTATAGTGTTTGCTTAAAGAATGATATTCCACTTGTTTTTAGAAATCAAACCATGCAACAATCAGGTTCCAATACTCTTATATAGAAAAATTAATTTTTCCTTCATTTCAACTTTTAGCTTGTAAAAGTTTGGCAAATCCTTTTTGACAATGAAAGAGGAGGAAATGTTTAACCCCCCCCCCCCAAAAAAAAAACGTTAAATCAAAAAAAAAAAAAAATTAATGAAAAGCAAAAATATAGTAAAACTCTATACCTTTTAATAATACTGAAAGAGGCTCTAGATGAAATATTGAAATGAAGTTAAGCCTTCACACAAGTTCTATCATATCATAATTTACTTCGCCATGATAAAAGCATACTTGAAATGTTGGTGGGGGTATACTTGAAAGTATTGTGGCAAAGTAACAGTTGAAAATTAGTAGAATAGTAGATTATTTTAAGCTTATTTTTAGTCCCTCCCTATAGAAAAATAAAGATTGGGTAGTTTTTTGTTGCTTTTGTTGATAATCGACTTCCTACTAAATAAGTAACAGGGTGGGCTGGTATAACACCTAAAAACATGCTCTGTAAAGCTATGGGCTAGTGTAAAATACACAATCCAATGCAAAAACTATACATGTAGACATAACCTTTTGATTTAGCCACAGGAGTCTGAAGTTTTTACCGTAAAAAAAAAAAATCCGGAAATTTTTTTTATTACCCTTCACTAAAAAAACCCGTGTTCTTTTTTAGTTAAGGGTAGAAAATTTTTTCCGGATTTTTTTTTTGGACGATAAAAACTTCAGACTCCTGTGATTTAGCACACAGTATTCATTACATTTCTTAATTCTTGTTTTACTCCACCCTTTTACCCAGTTCTGAGTATGTTCGTCTAAAATAAATTCGGAAACCTGATTAACCAATTCTTGGACTCTATTTTGGAAGACCATAAGGAATACGGCACCTTTACCCTTTACGTTTTATTACGGCCCACAGCGCCACTACCTCGTTATACCCGCCAACATTCCTTCTTCCCCGTTTACGCAAAACAACGGATTTAGTCCAGGAAATAATTTACAACTTATGACCAAAATCTAACTGGTTATAATTGCCATCCAAGCCATCTGTCACTCATGCTCAGAATTGTGCTAATTGCCATTGCTATATTTTATTATTTATATGTTACACGAATCATTGTTAATCAGTGAACTCCTAGGCTTCGGATTGTTCGGGTGCAATTTTTGGATTTCCAGAATTCACCTACTCACCTGCAATGTTTATAATAAAGTGCTATTCCATCGATAGCATTTTTATGTTTTATTGTTGCCGGAAAGTTTGACACTTATTTTTCCCGGTGATAATAATATGAAATGTAAATTGAAGACCATTTCTTTTTATGTCGTTGTAATCGAAGATTCAGGGTATATAGTTTTATCGTGTCCGTCTGTTTGTCTGTTTGTCTATCTGGCGGTCTGTTTCTCCGCAAAAACTTTAACCTTGACCATAACTTTTCATTTATTGTAGCTATGCCTTTCATGTTCAATATGTGTATATTCCTTGTGACAAGACCTTACTTTGGGTACCACCAAATTTGACCTTTTGCCTTTTACCTTGGAGTTTGTCCCATTTTACAAAAAAATGCCAAATTAATTTACTTTGGCTATGACTTTTTAACTGTAGATACTAGTACTCTCTATACTTCACAAATGTAATCCTTGTTACATAAAACATTTCTTAAGAAACCATCAGCTTTACTTTGAGTTTGACCTACCTTTCAAACACTTATCCTTAGCCATTAAGTTTGAACAAGTGGTGCTAGGGCTTTCCTATTTTGCAATTTTATTTCTTGTGAGAAGACCCTACTTTGGGTACCATTATATTTAAATTGCATTTAAGAAAAGTTTAATCTTCGCTATGTTGCCTGCCTAGGGGCAGCAGCTCTTTCACAAACACATCTTTTTATATATAAGAGAAGTTGCAGATAACAAATGGATACCCCAAAGCGTAACAGACGGACGGATGTCCCGATCAGACCATATACCCTCCCTCTTTTCAAGCGGAGGATATAATAATATGTGATACTGCTGATTTTTTCTGTCAGTACTATGATTTCCACCATCGAAAAACAATGTTTACATAACCCTTTAGGCTCGATAAATCTTTACTCCTTTAGATTCTGCATCATCGCATTGACCTTAAAATATAGCTATAATCGTATGTTATGAGATCAACCTATCATCAATTTATTCCAAGTAAGCTCAGGTGAGCATTTTGGCCAATAGGCTTCTTTATCTAATTTTTTTTTTTGCCCCTTAAAAATTTCAGCTTTAATCCACAGGGAGTCAATTTTCTACGGGGGTCATTTTTCTTCACGTGGGTTCTGCAAATTTTTAGGGTGGTGACACTTTTTCTACGGGCAAAAGGGTCATTTTTCTACGTCGAATAATGACCGGGGGTCATTTTTCGCTGTCGAAAAATGACCCCCGGTCATTATTCGATGGGGGTCATTATTCGTCTTTACACCGGACCAAATACGATAACGTATTTGGTCCGCCTTTTATAAGAAATGGTCCGGCCCGTATAAGGAATGGTCCCCCTACGTTTTATGGTCCGGGTGGTGAAAAAATGTTTTAATTTTGACTTAAACATATGAAATTAAAGCGATTTTGTTTAAACTATATAATGAAAGAAGGGTGTACCCTGTTGTGTTTTATGTTTTGTACAACATATCTCTAGGACAAGAATCTACTCCTCGTTCAACTAAATTAGTTCGATTAAAGGTGTGGAATCTGTCAGTGTGTATAGCTAATAAAACAATGGGGGTGTGATGTATTTATTTACCTGACAGGTACATGTACCTGCAGGTAGAGCCCGCGGCAGATGGCGCTGTAACTGAATGGTCTGAGAACTTAATGGTCATGACTTACCTTGACATATCAATAAGTTTGGATTTTTTTATTCATAAATAATATCAAGGAACACTTCAAACCTGTGACATTTATAATAATCATAATTATATATTGTCTTTTTTGAATATTCAAAGCTAATTAAACGTGGCGTATCTGAGCTAAAAAATAAGAATACGAAATGAATGAGCGTAGATTTACATGAGATTTGATATTTAAGTTCAAAATAAAATTTCAATTCGATTATGAACATAAATATCCCCTTGTTTCTATAGTTAAATTGACTTTTAACTGTGTCTGATATTTAAATACCGAGTCGATAAAAATCGTTCATTGTTTTTAATTTAATCTATGAAACGCGATTGATTATCATTAAGATGTATAATTTTCATT